GGCCATCCCCAGCCCTATGGCCAAGCCCAGCCCCATGGCCATGCCCAGCCTCATGGCCATGCCCTGCCCTACGACCAAGACCAGCCCCATGGCCATGCCCAGCCCCATGGCCATGCCCAGCCCTATGGCCAAGACCAGCCCCATGGCCATGCCCAGCCCCATGGCCATGCCCAGCCACATGGCCATGCCCAGCCCTACGGCCAAGACCAGCCCCATGGCCATGTCCAGCCCCATGGCCATGCCCAGCCCTATGGCCAAGACCAGCCCCATGGCCAAGACCAGCCCCATGGCCATGCCCAGCTACATGGCCATGTCCAGCTACATGGTCATGCCCAATACTGTGGCCAAGCCCAACCCCATTTCCAAACCCTACCCAATGGCCAAACTCAATGCAATGGCCATACCCTGGCCATGTCCAGCTACATGGTCATGCCCAATCCTGTGGCCAAGCCCAACCCCATTTCCAAACCCTACCCAATGGCCAAACTCAATGCAATGGCCATACCCAACACAATGGCCATGCCCAATCCCATGGCCATGCCCAGGCTCATGGCTGTGCCCAAACCCAACCCAATGGCCAAACCCCACTCAATGGCAATGCCCAAGCCCATGGCCATAGCAAACCCTATGGCCATGGCCACCCCAGCCACTCACTCTCCGTGGGCTCCAGGCCCACGTAGGAGCCGGTGAGGAAGCGGTGCACGAGGGCCGACTTCCCGCTCTTGCTGCTGCCCAGGACACCCTGCGGAAGGGCAGGGATCGGCATCAGGACCCCCTGTGGCACCAGCACGAGGGGGAGCCCCGAGGCCGCAGTACCCACCAGGCGGATCTCGGGGACGGAGCGACCCAGGGTCCATTCCTGGCTGTTCACCAAGGCCTCTGAGGGGAGGAGAGGGGTGAGATGGAGGGGCGCAATGGGCACGAGGGCGCAATGGGCACGAGGGCGCAATGGGCACGAGGGCGCAATGGGAACGAGGACACAATGGTCACAAGGGTGCAATGGGCACGAGGACGCAATGGGTGCAAGGGCACAATGAACACGAGGACGCAATGGGCGCAAGGACGCAATGGTCACAAGGATGCAATGACCTCAAGGACGCAAGGGATGCGAGGGCGCAATGGGCACGAGGATGCAATGGTCACAAGGGCACAATGGGCGCAAGGATGCAATGGTCACAAGGATGCAATGGGCACGAGGACACGAGGTCGCAAGGGATGCAAGGGCGCAAGTGATGCGAGGACGTGATGGGCACGAGGATGCAATGGACACAATGGACGTGAGGGCACAAGGGATGCGAAGGCGCAATGGGCATGAGGAAGCATTGGTCACAAGGACGCAATGAGAACAAGGACGCAATGGGCACAAGGACACAAAGGGCGCGAGGACGCA